GGGCTGCGGCGCGGCCCGGCCCGGAGAGCCGCAGCGCGGGTGCGGGAGCGCCACGTGAAGGTGCGCGGATGGTCTGGCCCCGTGTGAATTGCTCTCTTCTGCCCGTGCACCTAAGGCTGCTGAGAAGCAAAAGTGCGTCAGTGACCGCTTTTATCGACCCCGCTCGGTGCGTACCGATGGTCAGGAGTGTTCCTGTGTGACAGCGCGCGTTTAAAGTCACAATCCTGTGAGGGTGTGAGCTTACTGGTCTGCTGTGTGTGCTTGCAAGGCTGGAGCTTAGCTGACTGATTCCACTTGCAGAGCGTTAACTGTGCAAGTCAGCGTTGTTGGGCAGTCGGTGTTGCAAGTGTAATGCCTCGCCATCTCACTACCGTATCAGTGAGGGTTTTGGAGTGGTCTTCCCCTTTCCGGTGTCTAGGGTTGGTTGTTTATGGCTGCGTTAATGTTAGTTTGACTGTGTGCTTCAAGATTTGGCATGGGGCTGTATTTTTTTAGCAAATGGCAGACCTTGCTGGTTACTTTGTTCAACTATTACAAAATTGTATCTATCTTCATACAAATCATATCCAAGATTAAATTGTCTCGAACTGGTATTGCTGTAAGCAAATGTTCCTTTAAAATCAAAAGATTCTGTGTAAACTAGCATCTAGGCATTATAATACCAGACAAGAAGTAACACAAATGACTGAATTGCCATAGGAAGGAACACTTCAGGTTGTTAGCGATATGGTTTAGCCAGCACTCGAACAGAAGTCGTGAATATGGTTAGCTAGAGTTTCCCTTCTTTACTAGGTGAAATTGGCATCGGAAGATGCATTATGTTTACTGAAGTTGTAACCCGCTGTGTCCAAGAGCGCTGTTAAAGTCGAAGTAGCAGCTGTGATTATAAGCAGCTTCTAACTGTCCTCTTCTAAAGCCAGCCTGTACTTTTTTAATGCATGCCATACTGTTGGGTTCCTGGGTGGTTCAGACCTTTCTGGTCATTAAATAACAGTCTAAAACAAAGATCAGCTTAAATTAAACTGGTCTTGTCACTTCCCTTCAATGTAGAAACATGCCCCATGTTTCCTGTGATGCGTTTCACTAGTGAAGAATGAAAAGGTAAATATTGTGGTAAATAGTCCTTTACTTTACACTGCCAGTCGGCGTGGTTGTAGCTGTGTACAAAGAGAACTAGACCCCAGTGAAGTGCCCTGGGCTAGAACTTGGGCATCTAAACGGTCCTGCAGGCACCAGCCCCCTCAGAGCTGGAGCCTCAGAAACCCAGCTCTGTCTCTATTCTGTACAGGCTCAGGATCTTTTTCCCATTAAAACCCTCTGAACGCCTAAATATCTGCTTCTTGGTGTGCCTCAGTTCTGACGACGCGGATCAGGTAGGTGCCTAAGCTGTCCTGGGATCCGCACGTGAGGTATTCCTTGACATTTTGCACTTGGAGAGCCTGGCTGTCTTCAGATCACGCCTACCTGATCTGGCCCACTTGAAATACATGCAGGGGAATGTATTGCCATGTCTGTCTGTCTGTCTCTTTTTTTTTCCTTCTTTCTTTCTTTTTCCTCCGCCTCTGCCCCCTTGTGTTTTATTCAGGGGGCCGTGTCTAGAGCTGCCGTCCAGACGCCAAGAGCCCAGTTCTGCTTGTGCATCTTTCATTTCCCAAGAGAGTGCTATAGCTGTGAACCCGTCTGTTGTTCTGGGCTGGTGATCGCCTTACTTTTGAAACTATTTCACTTTACTTTCAATACAGAAATATTCATTAGGTGAGCTGTGATCTTAACTCAGGGCATGAATCCAGGAGTGGGAAAGTTTGATTTCTGGTCCCTTTTCCAGCTGTACATTAAATATTAAAACACATATTTGCAGAACACATGTGGTGAAACCATATTGAATTACAAGAAAAAAATATTTATTATTAAAGTGTCACTTGATTCTTGCAAATAAATATGAAAATCACACCTACTAAAAACACTGCACACAAAGGGCATGGTGGATCCATGGACATGCCACCAGTTTCACTGCCTGTACCTGCCCTTAATTCGGGTCATGGATTGAGGTGATCCCCAGGTGATTAAATCCTCTTTCTGGCTGTGCTATGAACAGAGTCTGAACGTAGGCAGTGTCGTTCAGTCAGTCGTATGCGTATAGGCTGTTCCTTTACTATGTTGGAGAAAAAGCTGAAATCCCAGTCTCTTCTGTGATGTCCTTCCTAATCATTAGATTCAGTCTCGCTTGTTTGTGCTGTCACTTGTGTTTCCTACTGGCTGATTTGCTTTTTTCCTCAGCCTTTGTTGATCCTGAGATTAGGTGTTTAAGACTCAGGTTTAGTTGCTCTTAATCCACAGTGGCTGTGGGTGCCTCTGGAAAGGGCAGCCCTGCTCTGGCTCCCCTTTCCCCAACGGCACATTCCTGCCCCACCCTCGTGCAGTCAACCACAGGGGCAGCTGGGAGTTGGAAAAATACTTCTTCTTCTTTTTTTTTTTTTTTAACATTTATTTTAGCGGTTTAGTTTTCCGTCTAATCAGTGAGCTGAGCCAACTCCTCGTGCAGCTGCGTGATTGCTAGATCCAAGGTGAACGGCTGTTGGCAAGGGAGAGCAGAGCTGCCCCTGCCGGCGGCAGCCACCCCTTTGAGCAAGTGAAGCCTGCAATAGACTGCTTGCTCTTCCCACGTGCGGGCCCAGAGCCAGCGTGCCTCAACTAGAAGGGCAAATTCCACTAGGAAGCCAGGTTTCGGGTGACTTAGGCCTACTAAGCCTTTCTGTGAATCTCACCCACTTTGGTTTATACCGGAAGCACCTTTGACTTTGGTGGAGCTTGTTTGTTCGTTTGAGCAAAATGTTGTCATTTGCTTCATTCAGAGATTTTTGCAAGATGTGGAGCCAAACCTATTGTTCCCCTCTTTAGGCTTTTATTTAATTTTATAATAGAACTACTCTGTTTACTCTAAATTGATATCTCCTGAGATACCTCAAATCTGGTAAATATTATCTCTCTAATCTAAGTAGGACAACACCCAAACTCTGTCAGCAACAAACTTAACATCACTTCTTTTTAAAGTGAAAGGCAAAGCCGACTTTGACTTTAGAAAGAACAAGCTGAATATGGGTTAAGCTATATTGTCGTGCTGGCTAGCAATACTATTCTGTCTCCCTCAGCGAAAATTGACTATGCAGAGAAAAATTCCTAGTGAGTGCTTTTGGTGGCTGGGATGAATCTTCAGAGGAGCCTCGTCTGGGAAGAGATTGAAATCCTGGGTTTGATTTGAACTCATCTGTGTTGCATCATATCTTTTAATCACATTAATACATCAAACCGTGCGGAATTAGTGAGGATACTTCTCTCAACCTTAATACGAATGTTTATTTGCCTGTCGTTGCAGCTGAGGTTTACATGAATTCATTGCCAAAGAAGAAAAATTGTGTTAGAAATATGATGCTTATCTTTCCTGTAAATTGTACCCTGGTGGCTTTGTTTTGAAGCTTTGTTTTTCAGTGACCTAATAGCCACACTTGCACTGGAGGGAACAGATAATTAGGCCCCAAATTTAGGCCCTTGGTGTTTTAGGGTTTTTCTGGACACTGCAGCGAGCTTCGGGTCTGGCCCTAAGAGCAAGTTCTGGAGAGGCTGCTTTGGCAATTAAAGCTGCACTGAAGTCCAAGGAAGCAATCCACAAAAACCATGCCCTAGTGGCCGCAGAACCTGTTAGGCACTGAAATTAGTTTGGCACCTATGTTTTGGAGTCTGAAACTTGCATTTCGACTTGTGTAATGTGCCTCATCCTGGGCAAGGGGGTTTGCCATACTGTAGAGACGAGGGTTAGTCAGAACTAGGTTTAAACGTGGTTAAGCTAGCAATGCTTCTGTGGTTAGTGATGAACGGGCACGAGAAGAAATTGTGCTTCCTCTTTCTGAGAGATTCTTAAATTTAGACAGGTCGTAGTGTTTTGTATAGAGCTTCTAGGAGACAACACGTTCTCAAGACTTTGAAGTCTAGTTTCATTTCACAATAGAGCAAAACCCAAAACCTTTTAGATTTTTTTTTTTCCTCCTTATTTTTACCTTTGGAAAATGTGGTTGCCTGCATCTACCTCTAAGGTTGAGAACTCACTTGTAAACTTCAGTTCGGGTTATCTGTCTGCTCAGCAGTGATGGAGTAAGTAATAAATCTTCTTTGACTAAACCTTAATCAAACCTAGAACATCTCCCTGAATCATCCTGGCTTTCATACAGTTCAGTGGTGTGTTTACTCTAGATCTAGTTTCACCAGTGTCTGAAATCATAGGTCAAAATCTCTTGTGTAGAGTGTTGTTTCAAATTCAACAGGATTAAAAAAAAAAAAAAAACCTGTACGTTCGTGGCGTAGATGTTGTTCACTTCTTTCAGCAAATCTGTCTTGCAGGGGGAGGAAGGGAGAGGAAAAAGGGAGAGAGCTCCTCTCTGAGCGGAGCAGATTCCCGCTGCCTTGCCACATAGTTGTGGCAGCATTTGGCCAATAGTAATTGGGGTGCCAAATGCTCCTGTAAAATTGGTACAGTTCTGCTTTCTACCAGGTTCTCCCCCTGTCTACGTAAAATTTTTTTAAAATACCTCTTTCATGCGTTGACTCTGTGGTTACCACTCACCTATGAACTCAGGCAATTGCAACTGCTCCAGCCAGCTCATGTCTCTGAAAAGTATGCTGGGGCTGTTAAAGAGGTTGTGGGCCTCTGGTCTGGGTGGATTTAAAGCAAAAAGGAAAAGAAAAATCTTATAAAGACAGGATCCTCCTGGATTTTTATTCTAACATGTGTTTAGGCAGCTTTCTGAGCTTAGTACATGTGCCCCGTAGAGGCATACTCCCAATCTGTTCTGGATTTGAATTAATTAAGGTCAGTTCCCATTTCCTGTTCTCAAGTGATTCATTTAATCTGTTTTCATATATGAGATGTATTGGAGGCACCCGCGTCCTTTCTTAATCTCAGCCATAGTTCTTTCATCCTTGATTTATACGATATATATAATTTCTTCCTGCCCCCTAAAACGTTGTAACTGATTGCAGAGCCTGACAATGAGGAGCAGAACTGCTGAAAAGGGAATCTTCCTCCTATGGAAACCCCATAGCTTAAAGGTTTGTTTATTTGTTTGTTTTCAGTCCTGAATCAGGATCATGAAATATAATTTTGCATATAATTAT